ATAGGGTTGAATATTATGAGAAAAAAATGGAGGTAGGCTGATTAAATTTTTTTCGAATGATACAGGAAGAAATTCTATGTGTGATAGATTTTTTTTGACAAATAATAGCTTGTAATTCTTTTAACAGACATGAGGTGGTGCTATATTCTACCAATTCAAGTAAATTCATATAAATGCAAACAATTGTTCATTCATTTGCTTGTGATACACAGATTTTACTTATTTTCATTCAAAATAAGTGAGGAAATATTAAAAGGCACAAATAAAAATTCTGAAGGAGAAAATAGCTATCAAAACAAATACATCAGTGAAGTTACACTGTTCTTAAACTCCAGTGAACATGTGTTCTCACATACAAATTTTTTTATTATGATTAGAATTCGAGGTGAACTAGAATTTGTAATCAGATGTGCCACAGATTTAATCACAGTAGGAACTTAGCATCATCATTGTTTTTACCAAGATATTCAACATCACATTCTTCATAGAAAGTCATTTGCTTTCAGTATGTTAAGAGAAGTAGATAATAAACATTGCTAAATTTCTTGTTATTAAAGAATACTTAAAAATAAAAGGTTAAATAGTTGATCTATGAAGAAAAGTTGATGTAGAATATCTTTTAATTGACAGATTGAATTGATTAACATTTGAAAAAGAAACTTTTAACTGCTTAACGCAAAAATTGAGACTGAATCATTTTGAGTTTGAAATGTTTAGATATCTGGATTAATGTATAGAGAAATGTGTATAACATATATAGTGTATAACACATGTACATGGTATGCATACATTAACATGCATTGTAAGTAGGTATAGCATGATACTGTATAATATGTGTATGAATACCATATATGGGCTGTATGATATATGCATGTGCTATGTACATATCATATATATATGTATAGAACATATGTTTAGGCATATTCCAATTAGGAGTATGAACAGGAAGTGATGCATCTCTGGTGCTCAGAAGTGATGATTTGTGGCCTACTGTAATTTTAGTCATGACTGGCTCTATAGCAAGGAAGTTGAAACTACTCCTCTCAAAGGAAAATTCTTGATATTTCTTGAACATTACTAACTGAATAGGACTCAAAATTAAAAAGAGAATAGCAATTCAGTGTATAAATGTGGCCAATCAAAAGTCATATATGCATAAGCACTGTTAGGTTCTTATTTTCTACCTATAATTCTTTAGTAAATTGTGTGGTATAGGTTTTTTAAATCTGGCTGCTAGGCATGGTGGAAATGCCTATAGTTCCAGCTAATCAAGGATACTGAAAGAGAAAGATAGCTTAAATCTACAGTTTGATGCCAGCCTGGACAAATATGGCAAGAGCACATCTTTTTTAAAAAGTGAACAAAGAGGAGGCTGGAGAGATGGCTTAGTGGTTAAGAGCACTGTCTGCTCTTGCAGAGGTCCTGGGTTTGGTTCTCAGCACTCACATGGCAGCTAAGAGTCATCTCAGGAACCCTCCAGTTTCAGAGGCTCCAATGCCATTTTCTGACCTCTGCAGGCATTGCACGACACTTACATGCATGGAGACAATACACTTAGACACATAAAGTAAAAATAATAGATAAAACACTATTTTTATTTATTATTTTTATTTTATGGATATGAGTGTTATGCCTGCATGTAGGTAAGTGCACCGGTGTCACGCAATGCCCGTGGAGGACAGGGGATCTGGAGTTACAAACAGTTGTTAGCTGCCATGTGGGTGCTGGGAATCAAATCTGGGTCTTCTGCAAGGGCGGTCAGTGTTCTTAACTGCTGAGCCATCTCTCCAGCCCCTAAAACACTATTTTTAAAAGTGAACAAAGGAATAGAAAAAAGAAAAAAAAAAAGATTAAAGGAGAGAGGGCAGACAGTCAAGGGGAAAATATTTGGCTTACGCTTGCCCATACAACAATTTCAAATTTCTGAAATCTCTCCTTCTCTGTCACAATTCCATACTTCCACATAAAGTGAAGTAACCAGTTGTTTAAAGTGGATTCAAATTACTTGAAGAAAATTGATATAGCTAATTCTTTTGGTTATTTTGTGTTTTCATAAACAAATATATAGAGTGGTTATAAAATTTCAGAAATGGAGGCTGAAGAGATGGCTCAGCAATTAAGAGCACTGACTGCTCTTGCAGAGGACCCAGGTTCAATTCCCAGCACCCACATGGCGGCTACGAAGTGTCCTTAACTCCAGTTCCAGGGGAATCCGAAGTCTTCTTCTGACCTCCGTGGCATTGCACGACATGGGTGCACTCCCATACATGCAGACAATACACTCATACACATTAAAAAAAAATTTCAGAAATGTATAAAATTTATAAAAATAAAATTGCTTCAAAGTAAAACAGAAACACAAAACCTAACGAATAGCAAAGGGCCACAGATTAAAAAACCACTCATTTCAGTCGACATATAATCCTAGCACTTGGGAGGTGGAGGCAGGAGGATCAAGAATTCAAGATCATCCTTGACTACATTGTAAGGTTGAGGTCTGGCTGGAATACATGAGACCCTGTCTAAACAAAACCAAAATCATCATCATCATCATCATCATCATCATCATCATCATCATCATCTAGACGCACCTCATCTAAGAAATACTAGACAGTAAACAAAGTAGGAAATATTGTGATCATAAACAGAATACAGGAACTGGAGAGATGGGTCAGTAGTTAAGAGCACTGGCTACTCCTGTAGAGGACCCAGGTTCGAATACAGTACCCACATGGTGGCTAACAACCACCTATAACTCCAGTTCCAGGGGGATCCAACACCCTCTTCTGGCCTTCATGAGCACTGCAGACATGGGTGTACTTACATGCATACATAACACTCATATACATATAATAAACAATTTTTTGAGTTGACAATACTGGGCCAGTGAGATGACTCAGCAGAGAGAGGTACTTGCCACCAAGCTTGACGATCTTAGTTTAATCCCCCAAATCTACATGGTGGAAAGATAGAACTAACATCACAAGTTGCCCTTTGACCTACACATACATGCTGTATTGTGCATACACAATAAATAAATGTAAAAAAAAAATTTAAGTTGACAGTATGGCAACCTCTCTTAATACTTAAATTCTTAATATCTTTTAAATCTAATTCACAGTCATCACCATTATTCCTTATTCTTGATTCTTAGATACAAAATGTAAGTGGACTCTTATTTTACAACTGCTATGGCCTGTAGACTAATTCTGGGATTGTCTATTAGAGTCTCCTGTTCCTTAGTATGCTCAAGAGCTACCACAGGCCAAGCCAGTATCACTTCGTATGCAGATAACTCTACCAATCTCTCAGATAAGTCTCTCTTGGGTCTATTCATGATACAATACTAGAATAACTTTTCTTAAACTATACTTTCATCATCTCCTTCCCATAGAAAGAACTGCAGTTATTGTGTCTTAGTTCTATAATACTATGTGTTTAAGAGACCATGTCTCTAATACATTGACGACTATTTAAATCTTTCAAAACACACCAAATAAAATTGTTCCCATTTCATAGGTAGGAAGCTAAGGCTCAGCAAAGAGACCGTTAAACTTATCCAAGTTTGCATAATTGTTAAGGGAATAGTTAGGATTCCAGCTCAGGCCTGTTTATTCAGAGCTTTTCTATTCCAAGAACACTGCTTTTCACAGAGAAGTATATCAATAAATATTTATTATACAAATAAAATATTATGCTATGCTACTATGGTGTATGACTGTTAGTAATCAAGTGAAAAATTCTAATTTTTAATTGAAGGTCCATACTTTATAGTAAGTAAAAAAATCTGGCATATATTACTTGATTAGAAATTATTTGTTGAATTGAACTATATTAAAGGAACTGTATTGGTATGGGATTAATTAATGGCACAGAAAAAAAGGTCTTACTTTAGAATTAGGTAAATCATAATTAAGTCAATCTTTTAGCATTTACCCTAATTACAAAATACAAAAAAGGTTCTATTGGCAAAAAAATAATATTGTTGTACAATACTGTGTGAACATATTGGTCATGCACACCAAATTGCTTAGGGTGTATAGATTCCTAAACAGTCAGAACAAAATTCCTTAGAGATAATGTTTTAAAATTTTAATATAGAACAAATGTCACTGCCTAGCAATTTAAAGATATAAGGGACTTCAGAGTTCAATAACAAATACAGAGTTGTTATTTGAAACAAAGATGTAGCTCTTGAGAACAATCAGTTCAGTTTTCCAACAGCAGTTACAGTATGTGGTCATAACCATTTTTCCCCCTTTTACAGAGGTCTCTAGGTGCACATTTTTAATGTATCCTAGCAGTTTCCAGTTAATGTTTTATATTTCTATAGCTATTATTTTCTGTTGAAAGAAAACTAGTAAAGGTTGAGTCTAGAAAGGGAAAACAAAAGAAGAAGATCAATATTAACACTCTACAAATATTGACTTAGCAAAGTGACTTTGTTGTCTTTCTCTCACAGGAATTGATATTGAATGAACAATTTATTAATAAGAAACACCTATGAAAAGTATTTGTTCAACAAAAAAATTACTTGCCAAGGTATATAATTGAACAATCTATTCATCAAGTTAAAACATTTAAGAGTCAACATTTTCAAACTAAAGACCTTATTATAATAGTCTTATGCACTATTTTTAAAGATATTACAGCTGGGGTTGGCAAGATGGCTCAGTAAGGGTAACTCCCAGGCCTAAAAACATTAATTTGATCCCTGGGATCCACATGGTTGAAAGAGAGAGCTGACTTTTGCAAGTTGTCCTCTGACCTCCACATGTGCACACAGCACAGGCACACATGCATGCATGCATGCACATGCACACAAAATAAATACAATTTACAAATATTACCAGTGGCTTACCAGAAATGCTAAATTTCATAGGAAAAAAATTAGTTCACAAAGTTTATTGGTTCCCTGTACACACTCAATAGCTATTAATTATACTTAATGTAAAATATTTTTCAGGAAAAGTTGTATCTGTTTATTTAAAATACCATACCTTTAAGTTTGGAGGAGTTAACTTTGAGGTTTGGTTACTATTAGCACCCATGGCAATTGTGAAAGAAACAGATGTTTTGAACTTTCTAGTTGTTGACAGTAAAGAATTTGTTGTGTCACCTGTAAAAAGTAATAGTTATTTGGTCATACCATGAAAAGTTTTCAATAGCACTTTATTTCTGAACAGAGTAGCATTAAATTGTATTAAACTCACTCACTCTGTCTTTCCTATTGAAATAAAGTCAGAAGTTTAATTTTATCAGGCTTTAATGGCCTATAATTTATATGTTTCTATTAGGATTCTTATTTCAGTATGTCACTTTTTAGTCTGAAATTTTAGTTTTAATAAAATATAATGGGTATAGCCAAGTTCCAGAATAAAGTTTCACTTCAGTAGAATTTTACAGCTAAAAAAGTCTAGAAATCATAACTAACAGTTGGATTCTGATTGGTTTTATCATTGATAACCTGAGATGAAAGGAAAATTTTATTTGAATTATGATACCATTGGTCAAAAAATTTTTTTAGTGTTGAAAGCAAATACCTTTATTTGAGAAGGCTTCCTGGTCATTTTTTCTTATGATTTTAGGTGACAGTTTTGGAGATGGGTCCCTCTCAGGGGAGCCTTCGATGTGGCTTCCAAATTGTTGACGCCTCAGTTTACTGTTGGCCTCCAGTTTTTCTAGTGTAATCTTGAGACATTGCTCATTGGTTTTCATATATAATTTACAAAACTAAAGGAAATAAAGAAGCCATCTAGTGGGTAAAACAGTCAATCATACATTTGGAAGAGAGGAAGGCAGATACACATGAGTCGGCAAGGAACAGACCTGGAATACATTTCTTATTGAACCTGGCTGCTCATTTTATTTTCGTGAATCAGACTGACCTGGTGAAATGCAGCTATGAATCAATGAGGAGGCCATGCTCTGAATGCAAATAAGTGTTACAAAAAAAGAGGTAAGGTATTTATTTTTTTACAAGACACGTAGATTTGCATTCGTTCTAAATAATTTTTATGATTCTTCCACTCTAGGAAAGATATATCTCTGAAGAGTCTCTATATTTGTTTGTATGTCTGTATGTGCACACATACATATTTTAACAGGCTCAATAGCTCTTATTTGAAATGGTGGAACCAAAAGTATTTTGGATGTGGTATTTTCAGATTTTGGAACATATGCAAATCATAGTGAGATACTTAGGAGCATAACTTAAGTCAAATTGAGAAATTCACTAATGTTTCATGTGCTCCTTCTTACAGATAGCATAAAGGTAGCTTTAATAGGCCTTTACATAGGATCACATATGGAATTTTTATTTGTGTTATCATATCCACCCTCAAAAAGTTCAGACCTTAGAGCATTTCAGATTTTGTGTGTTCAGATTATGGAGGCTTACCTGATATTACTTTTAATACAGTCATCAGATCATAATTATGAGATTGAAAAGATTAAGTTAAAAGTACAGTGAGTACATAGTACATACCAAGTCCTTCCCAAAGTTAAAAATACTTTTGGGGTATGGAGTTGAAGCTCCATGGTAGAGTGTTAGAATGTGTGAGTCCCTGGGTTCAATACAATAATAACAAAATCCACTTTTCTGATGTTAATTACATAGGTTTAATTATTTCACAATGTATACACATATCCAAAGCATTTTATATACATACTGTAAGTATAATTTTTTCAATTATACCTTAATAATGCTGAGGAAAAGAAATTTCCTAAATAGTGTGCAACTTTGTATCAATATGGGCTTATCTACCTTAATGTAGTCAAACTTCCCATCAGAATTTACATCATCCAAATTTATTACGGCATTTACTTCTTCTTGAGTCATTGTCTCACCTCTCTGAAAATAAAACAAAATTCATTTTAAATGAATGATTAATGCTCTGTTATTTATGGTAACAGTGGAAACACATTTTAATCTCTTCTAGAAGTTAAGTTTGAATATATGTGGTTTTGTTGTAAGTCAGAAAGAGAATTATGCCAAGCAATAATGAGACTATATTAAATAAAATTTTGCAATTTTATAAATTTTGTAAAAATATGCTGAATTTCAGTTTCTAAATTTTAACAATTTTATACTACAGTGTTAGTAATAACTGCTACCGAATTTAGAGTAATAGTATCTTCTAACATTGTATCAAAGAAAGCATTTCTAATCTCATTTATATTTTATTCTCCTTCTACTTGTTACATATGGACCTATCACTGATTTTCAGATTTCTGAGCAGTAAAGAATTGCAGGGGAGCAAAGGGTGACTGGAACATAGGCTTCTCTTTCATCTATAAAACATTTTCCATAAAGAATGGTCTCCAAGTACTTTATAAATAAGTGTATGAGATTCAGTTCATCTGTCTATAGAACAATTATTTTTTAAATGTGAATTTTGGTAGCCAAAACTAGACTATAAGTTGCTTTACAAATATGCACATTATAAAATAATTTCACGGGTCTTACCTTTGTTAGAAATTTATTAAGGTCAGAGTGTAAAATAGAGCCATCATCATTTACATCTAATTGTTTAAAATATTTTAGCAGCTCTGCTTTTGAAGTAGGATTTTCCTTCCTTAAAATTATACAAAAATCATCAAAATTCATTTTAGCAGTTTGAGGAGTCCAATACTTATGAATGGTTGTTTGGGATGGATTTCTTCCTGCATGCTGAAGAACTGCCCAATAAAAAAAGTATCATTTGTTACTGTACCATCTGGAATTGATACCTGAAGATTGTTCCTCTTTAATCACTATATATTTGTAAGTAAATCCAATATATGCCAACACATTACCCTTAGTGTTGACTATCTACTTACATTAATCATGCTTCATTCTTGGAAACAAAAATATATATGCTTACCAGCTAAAGAGCCTTGACATGTTAGTGGCAAAACTGAATAAATTTTTCCTCTTCTATAATTTTGATTCCCAACCTAAAAAGTTTAAGTAATTGATAATATCTAGTTTATCTAAGAAGTTTTCTTTTTTGAGACAAATTCTCACTCTGTATCCCAGAGCAGATGGAACTCATTCTGTAGAACAAGTTGGTCCTGAGCTTGCTGTGATTCTCCTGCCTCTGCCTCCCAAGTGGTGGGATTACAGGTGTGAGCCACAATGCCCAGTTGGTTTACCTAATAACTTTTAGAGAAGAAAAGGCTGACTTAATTTGTTTTGAGGATATAAGTAAAAACATAAATTAGTACTTTTTCTGGCTCAACAAATATTTTAATTAAATGAAGAAATCATTGGTTTGAGAATTTTAATGTCATTAAGATGTGATATTTAAAATGTTCATCATAGCTTAGTAAGAACATTAAACATATTCCAAATTCCAAATATATGCACAAAAAGTATCTGCTTCTAGAGCTGGCAAGATGGCTCAGTGGACAGAGGACTTGCTACCAAACCTGACAACCTGAGTTTTCTCCCTAGGATCCATGTTGTGCAAAGATGCAACTAACTAGAAAGTTGTCCTCTAACCTCCACATTTGTGCTGCAGCAAACACATCGCGCAGACAGGCAGACAGACAGATAGACACACATATACTTCACATACACCACATAAATAAATAAATAAACAAATAAATAAATAAAAATGTAATATTTTTAAAGTATCCATTTGTAGTTATGGCTCTGTTAGAAATTAAGGAAAGTGGACTAACTCTGGGAGAATTATCAGAGAAATAATGGTCAAATGCTTTTCATTTTAAATTAAGTCCTTATTTCTACAAAAGGATTACAATCTGAGAAAGATCCCATATACTTGAATATGTCATATAAAACAACTGCAAATACCACTGTTCAGATGAACTCAAGAAAGTAATTTGCAAATGAACTTCAGCATATAAACTTATAACTCTATCTGAAAAGAATGAATGATGTTTCCTAAGTACCATAGAAAGAATTATTAAAAATTTTAAAGTTTTATCTGTCCTCAGTTGTGCTACTGACTTCTATTATAACATAATACTGAACATTTACAACTGCCTTAGATGGGAATTTATAATACCCATGCATCATAAATCAGTACTAACAAATGATTATCTGGCCATTCTACAATTTAATACAATGAGGATTAATAAATATGAAACAATTTAGGAATATCCTCAAGGAAACGAATTAGAACAAGATAATAAACACAAATATTTGTAAGTCAGTTATATAGGTCATTTACTACTCACATGCATACACAGAGTGGTTTTTTTTTCAGAGGCACAAGCTTTTTAGTTCCAAAGTTGTTCTGTGATAGAAATATAGTCTACATCTTTAAAAAAAAATTTTTTTGTCTTTTTGAGACAGGGTCTCCTTGTAGCCCCAGTTGTCCTGGAACTGACTATGTAGACCAGGCTGGCCTGGAACTCACAAAGATCTGCCTGCCCCTGCCTCCCAAGTGCTAGGATTATAGGTGTGCGCCACCACGCTTGGCTAAAATTTTTTAAATATTATATTTTATTATTTGAGTATGTGTGTGTGTGTGTGTGTGTGTGTGTGTGTGTGTACATTCCACGATGTCAGTGTGGAAGGCAGATGACAATTCTGAAAGTTGGGTCTCCCTTTCTACCATGTGGATTCCAGAGACCAAACTCAGGCAGTCAGGCTTGGAGGCAAACACCTTTACCTGTTGAGCATTACACCTGCCCGTGTAAAGTCTACATCTTAAGTGTTATTTGTATTCGTGATTTATGGTCAATAATATTTCAGAAGTCCAAAGAAAAAGAGAGGAGGCTAGAGAGATGGCTCAGTGGTTAAGAGCACTTGGCTGTTCTTGCAGAGGACTCAGGTTTAGACTTCCCAGCATCTACATGGAGGCTAACAACTGTGTGTAACTCCAGTTCCAGGGGATCTGAAGCCCTCCTTTAACCTCTACAGGCATTTCACGATATGGGTGCACTTACATACATACATGCAATACATACATAAAATAAAAATAATACAGTTTGAAGTCAACCTTGGCCATAGTGAAAGATCCTATCTCAAAGATTTTTTTTAAAAAGATACAAAGGCCGGGCGTGGTGGTACACGCCTTTAATCCCAGCACTAGGGAGGCAGAGGCAGGCAGATCTCTGTGAGTTCAAGGCCAGCCTTGTCTACATAGTGAGTTCCAGGACAGCTGGGGCTACAGAGAGACCTTGTCTCAAAAAGACCAAAAAAAAATTTTTTTTTCTTTTTTAACTAAAGACAGCAGGAAGTGTTTGCTGAGCTGCCATTTGTGAGAGTTATATGACTATTTACCTAAAGCTGGACAGAAAATACCCTTTTTTCCCCCATGTGGATTTTTTTTTTTGTTTGTTTATTTTTTAAGACATGGTCTCCCTGTAGCCCCAGCAGGCCTGGAGCTCACTATGTAGACCAGGCTGGCCTCGAACTCACAGAGATTCCCCCTGCCTCTCCCTCACAAGTGTACTACCATGCCCTGTTCCATGTGAATTTTTGGCCTTCAAATTATAACTTCAGGTAGATTCTATTAGCATTCTTAACTCTGAGTAGGTGGGGATTGTCTGGGGATACATTCCTAAAGTACATATGCCATTTATCTGATTCTGTTGATACATAAATTATGGAATTGTCTGTTTACATACTAGGCAAATATTTACATTTTATTCCTAGAGCAGCATGGTAGTCAGGGATTTTGTCTACAACCAAAATAAACCTGTGAAAATAAAATTTAAAAAAATTATATCTCTGGGGCTGGAGAGATGGCTCACTGACTGTTCTTGCAGAAAACCCAGGTTCGATTTTCAGCACCCACATGGCAGCTAACAACTGTCTGCAACTCCAGTTCCAGGGGATCCGACAGTCTCTTCTGTCCTCTGCAGGCACTGCACAACACAGGTGTACTTATACACATGCAGGCATAACACTTATACACATAAAAATAATAAAATATTTTTTTAAAATTATATCTCCAATGCTACAAATTTCCACAAAGGTCTTATGTATGAATAGAAGATGAAATTACTATAATTAAAACTTATGTAAACTGGCTGACTCTAACCTGACTTGGCCTCCAGAGGTGAGTTTCCCAAATCATACTATGCCCATCCCCCTGCTTTGGGACCATCTGCCATCCCTCCCACTGCCCCAGGGCCAGGCTTCCCAGCTGGTTATTAGGAGCTCAGATCTTTTGACACTGCCTGAGAGTCCCTGACTCTGCTTCCTGGGAGAGCTTCCCAAGTGGAGCCTCTACCAGCACATCCATTTCCCATCTCATCTCCTTGGCACTATCTATCTGACACTTCTGAAGTGCTCCTAACTAGCTAAGGAGGCTGCACTGCCTGGAGAGGCCCTGAGTGGCAGGACTAGAGTCATCTGGTCCCTCCAATATAAAATCAAAGGACAGAACCTGAAGCTGAGACCAACTAGCTTTTCATACCCAATCAGAAAACAACCAAAGTACATCAATAATGCAAACAAAATCAGACTTCAACTCAACAAAGGCTTGAGCTTCATATCAGAATCACAAGCACCAAAAGAAATCTACATGCCAAAACCACAATAAAAAATAATATGAAAAACCAAAATAAAGTTCCCACCAAACAACCAACCCTATAGAAAAGTACAATGAGAACTCCCTAGAGAAAACCCAAGACACAGAATTTAAAAAAGAACAATAAAAAATAATGAAAGAATTCAACTAATTTAAATAACAAAGAACTCAAACAGCTAAAAGAATATAGGGATAATCTTATGACTGAATTCACAAGACAGAAATACTGAAGAAAATGCAGACTGAAATGAGAAGTGAAAAACTTAATAAGCCAATTTGAAATGACAGGAGAAAGCCTCACCAATAGAATGAATAAAATGTAAAACAGAACATCAAGATTGGGCAATAAAGTTGAAGAATTGGACCACTCATGCAAAGAATACGAAATAAAAAAAAAAATGCAGGAATTGTGAAACACAATGAAAAGACCAAATTTACACATCATAGGCATAGAGGAAGGAGAAGAATATCAAGTAAATAGTATTTGTTCTAGTTTGTTCTTCATTGCTGTGACAAAATACTCTGACCAATACCAACTTGGGGAGGAAAGGGTTTATTTGTCTTACATCTCCCAGGTTGCAGTTCATCAGGGAGCCCAAGGTAGGAACTCAGGGCAGGAACCTGGAAGCAGGAGCTGGAGCACAGGCCATGGAGGAATGCTGCTTACTGGCTTGTTCCTCTGGCCCCTGCTCAGCCTGCTTTATTATGCAACACCAGGCCCACCTGCCCAGGGGTGGCACCACCCACAGTGGGCTGGGCCCTCCCACATCACTCATCAAGAAGATGCCCCTCAGACATGGCCACAGGCCAGTCCAATAGAGGGAATTCCCCAACTGAGGCTCCCTCAACCCAGGTGTGTCAAGTTGACGCTAAAGCTATCCAGCACAGTATTGAACAGATCTTCAACAGGATTGTAGAAGAAAATTTCCTAAAATTAAGGAAAGACATATACATACAAGTACAACAAGCACATAAAACACCCAGTAGACAGGACCAGAAAAGAAAGTCCATGCAGTATATCATAGTTAAATCACTAAATGTACAGAACAAAGAGAGAATACCAAAAGCTGCAAGAGGGAAAAACAAGTCACATAAAAAGGAAAAACCCATCAGTCAGAATTACAGCTGACTTTTCAATGCAAACAATGACATCCAGAAGAGTCTGGACCAAAGTATTCCCTCTTCTAA